TCTGCATTCTTCTATTTTTTATGCAAATTTTCCTATTTAATCTATTTTTTTATTTTTTTTTCTGTTTTATTACTTTATTTTTTTGTTTAAAACTTTTGCATTTTTTAAATAACGGTTGGCAACACTCTTTTAAGTAGGTAGCAGGGTTCTACTTTTTCTTATTACACACTTACCTTTTAATTTTTTATTATGGCATACTTACTTTTTTGTAATTTCTTCTATATTGTTCTATATTTTATGCTAAATTTTTTTTTCTTTGTCAACTGTTTAATCTATTCCTACTTCCTCTTTTATAAAAAAATTTTTAGTCATATTTTTTTTACTTTTTTTCTGTTTTATTAGGTACTTTATTATTTTTTTTTTGTTTAATATTTTTGTATTTTTTAGTTATTTTTTAAACAACGGTTAAGAGTCAATAAGAGCAAAAAGGTCATCTCAAAAGACAAATCGAAATTTTGTTTTTAAGAGGTTGGCAACACTGTTTTAAGTTGGTAGCACGGTTCTGCTTTTTCTTATTATACACTTACCTTTAAATTTTTTATTATGGCATACTTACTTTTTTGTTATTTCTTTTATATTTTTCTATATTTTCTGCAATTTTTTTTTCTCTCTTAACTGTTTACTCTATTTTTATTTTCTCTTTTTTTTAAACTATTTTTTAGTCATACATTTTTTTACTCTTTTTCAGTTTTATTAGGTAAACAACGGTTGAGAGATAATAAGGGCGTAAGGAGCATCTCGAAGGGAGAAAAAACGCAAAAAACAGGTTTTTTGACCCCAATTTAGACCAAAATGTTTTTTTCCCTTCTTTTACTTGTAAATTTTGTATTCGTTAAATATTTCTTTTTAAACAAAACAAAAAACGGGTTTTTTATCGAAATTTTGGCTTTATAAAGTTGACAACACTCTTTTAAGTTGATAGCAGTGTTCTACTTTTTGTTATGTTTTGACACATTTTTATTATGGCATACATTCTTACTTTTTTTTGTTATTTTCTCTGTATTCTTCTATTTTTTATGCAAATTTTCCTATTTAATCTACCTTTTCATTACTTTATTTTTTTGTTTAAAACTTTTGTATTTTTTAGTTATTTTTTTAAATAACGGTTGGCAACACTCTTACTCTTTTTCTGTTTTATTAGGTACTTTATTTTTTTTGTTTAATATTTTCGTATTTTTCAGTTAATTTTTAAACAACGGTTAAGAGACAATAAGAGCAAAAGGGTAACTCAAAAGACAAATTGAAATTTTGGCTTTAAGAGATTGGCAACTCTCTTTTAAGTTGGTAGCAGTGTTCTACTTTTTGTTATTATACACCTAGCTTTTCATTATTATGGCATACATTTTTACTTTTTTTCTTATTGCCTCTGCATTCTTCTATTTTTGATGCAAATTTTTCTACTTAATCTACTTTTATTTCTTCTCTTTTTTGATTATTTTTTTTTTGTAATAGATTTTTGTCCTCTTTTTTTATTTTATTACTTTACTTTTTTTTTGTTTAATTTTTTATTATTTTTTAGTTACTTTACTTACTTTTTTGTTATTTCTTCTATATTGTTCTATATTTTAGGCTAATTTTTTTTCTTTGTCAACTGTTTAATCTATTCCTATTTCCTCTTTTATAAAACAATTTTTTAGTCATATTTTTTTTACTTTATGTTTTTTTTTGTTTAATATTTTTGTATTTTTTAGTTATTTTTTAAACAACGGTTAAGAGTCAATAAGAGCAAAAAGGTCATCTCAAAAGACAAATCGAAATTTTGGTTTTAAGAGGTTTTCAACACTCTTTTAAGTTAGTAGCAGTGTTCTACTTTTTGTTATTATACTAGCTTTTTATTTTTTTTTGAGACATTTTTATTATGGCATACATTTTTACTTTTTTTGTTATTTCCTCTGCATTCTTCTATTTTTTATGCAAATTTTCCTATTTAATCTACTTTTTTATTTTTTTGTTTTATTACTTAATTTTTTTTTTGTTTCAAATTTTTGTATTTTTTTAAACAACGGTTAAGAGTCAATAAGAGCAAAAAACTCATCTCAAAAGACAAATCGAAATTTTGGTTTTAAGAGGTTGGCAACACTCTTTTAAGTTGGTAGCAGTGTTCTACTTTTTGTTATTATACACCTATCTTTTTATTATTTTTTGATACATTTTTTATTATTTCATACATTGTTACTTTTATTGTTATTTCCTCTGTATTTTTCTATTTTTATGCAGCTTCTCTTTTTTTTTAACTATTTTTTTATTCAGATTTTTTTACTCTTTTTTTGTTTTATTACTTTATTTTTTTTGTTTGAAGTTTTTGTATTTTTTAGTTATTTTTTTTATTATTTTATTTTTTATTTATTTTATTTTTTTAGTTATGTTGGTAGTAGTGTTCTACTTTTTCTTATTATACACCTAGCTTTTCATTATTTTTTTGTCACATTTGTTATTATTCAATAAATTCTTTTTTTTGTTAGGTCTTCTTTTAATTTCCATTTTGTTAGCCATTTTTTTCTCTTAACTGTATTTTCTTCTATTTTTTCTTTCTTTAATAATTTTTTAATTTTTTTAGTCAGATTTATTTATTTTTGTTTTTATTCTATTATTTCTTCTTTTTTACTTAAACAGTTTTGTTCTCTTAAAAAATTAATCATTTTCTTTTACTTTTATTTTTTGTAATGTTTCGTTTTTGAACGACAGACTGGAGAGTTACTTCAACGTGTTTTTTACTTAAATTCTTACTTTTGGGAGATTGGCAATACTGTTAAAGCCCGAATTGGGATGCCAAAATGGTTATTTTAAAGTGCGTGTTTGTATATGCATTTTTTGTAAAGTTGTTAGCAATGTTTTCATATTTCTTCATTCATATTTTTTATTTTTCTATTCATTATTTTGCTCTCTTCTCTTCTTTAATTTTCCTTTTTTTCTATTTTTTTTATTCTAATATTTCAATTTTTTGTTTTTCTTTTAATAAATTTTTCTCTCGTACTTTTATTTTTTTATTATTCGATGACGAGAAACTAAAGAGTTGGCAAAACGGAGTAAAAATTCTAAATTTTTACTTTTAGAAAAATAAGCGCAAATTTGACTATGCATTTTTTGTAAAGTTGGTAGCAGTGTTCTACATTTTCTTATTATATAACTAGTCCTTCATTCATCTTGTACCCTATTTTTTAATCTTTCATGTTTTTTGAATGTTTTATTATCTTTTTGTTTTTCGTTACGCTTTTTTTACTCCTTTGTCTTGAATTTTTTTTTGTTTAGCATTTTTTATTATTTATTTTGTTTTACGTTTTTTTATTACTTTCTGTTATTATTTCTACTACTATTTTTTTTTTAATTTTTTTCCAAAGTTTTGCTTTTCGTATTGTGTATATTGTTTTTCTTCCTTTGATTTTATTTTTTAAATATTATTTCTATAAATTTGTAATTTTTTAATTTTCATTTTATAAATTCACTATATTATTATATATCAATTTTCAACTTTTTTGTTACTAATTTTTTAAGTTTTGTCACTGATTTTTTAACCATATTAAAGTACTCTTTGTTTGTTTTCTTGCAAATTCTTAAAGAAAATAATTCTCTAGGGCATACAAACCTCTATTTCCCTTCAAGGGTCTTTAAAAAAACCCTTGAGCACCCATGCGTTCACTCAAAAACTATGTAAATTATACATAATTTCATAAACATTAAAATATCTGTAATTAGTTGTAAAGAAAAAGGTCTCGTTTCGTTCCTCCAGATTACAGTCATTTCACATCAAAGATATTTTGTTCTTTTTTTCTTCAGTTTCCTACATTTATTCAAAAAAAGAGAAAGTTTAGTTGTATTAAAATAACTGTTAATAAAATTAAAAAAAACAAGTTCTAGTTCAAAGTTTTACTAAGTTTTTGAGTACAACCTTGAAACTCTTCAAAAAAAGAAAAAAAATACGATTCAATTTTTTTTATTCAAGT